CATATTTATGAAAGAAAAAATTGGAAGAAAGTGAAATAATAATGTCAACATATTTACTCTAAAGTCTAAACAATCTCTTTCCTCCTAGTTGATCCCAAAAAAGCTCCGGATGGGCAGTGAGCTTATATATTCAAAACAAATTATTCCCTAAATTGGTTTTGGTTTGTACGAATTAATGGGCTTTGGGTTTAGAAGATTATGAGCCTTGGGCCTTGGCTTTTTATGATTTTTACTTTCTTGGTCTTTCCAAAGTAAAAAGGTATTGGTAATTTAATGGCAGTAGATATTCATAATTATGGTTGATGGAATGTGCACCAACAATAACTTCTTGTTTTTTGTTTTGTTTATAATCCATTTTTTATGCTAGTGGATATAATAAAAAACATGCAGCAAAAACGTAGATCAAATAAGTTAAGTTAGGATCGTTAGGAGACAATTTTTGGTTGGAACGTAATAGAAGATATCACAATAATCTTTCCGAGCCTCCAATCAGGATCTTCCACAAGCTTCTCTCAATGGTAAAAAACAAGGCAAAAAGTCTCTTTCATCAATATTCGAACCGAAACTCCATAGTCCCTTGATGGGATGGCCCCTCTACCATTTTGTTTCAACCTCCTTGAAGCAATCTGCCAATTGGTTTTTGTAGGTGAAACATTTACCTTCCTCCCTCTCTTCTCCTTCTTCCTAGTGTTGGTAGTCATATTTTGTAACAGATGATCGATCATCTTATTATGTTGTAAAAGTTTAAATTATATATTCAAGCAAACCCTTTAACAAAAGAAAAAAATAAGTTAAGTCAAATCGTTAGGAGATTATTTTTGGATTTGCGTTTTAACAAAAAAGTTACGTTACTTTTTAGAGGAGATACATGTCGTTCAAGTCTTTTAACTTATAAATTGGTTGCATCGCTTGGTATGGTAGTGCGGTTGAATCGCTTGATCGTTACCAGTTGAACGATCGTTTGAAACAGCCGGTTGAAACGGCCGATTGGAAAAAGAAGGTTGTAAACGGACGGTTGAAACGGATGGTTCTATTACAGAATTTTATCTAGTTATATTATTCAACCGCTGTAATGCTACCAATCGAACTTATATTTGAACTGTTCTCTGTTATCCAACCGCATTCTCTAACCATTGTTTCTAACCGCCTTATTTTAAACAACCTTCTGTACAACCGCTCAAAAACTTTAACCGTTCTGTTCAAACGTAGTCACCAATTTGACCCAAAGAATTGACTAGAACAAAAAGCTCTACACAACTATATATACCTAGTGACATATTTTAAAATGGCCTCTAAAATTCTAATAATCTAGCTGTTTGAAAGTCTTTGTTTGTTGGTACTCTCTTGCGAATCGAACGTGCTTCTCGTATCAAGTGACAAATCTCAACAACTAAAAGGATGGTGATACTGATATATACGTACATTATCATTTCACTTTCATGTCACATGGAATCATGTGGGATGTGTCACATTGCTTACATATGATACCATCTTATTTCTACCTAAATTCTTCAACGATAGCACAAGAGAGTTTTTGGGAAGTACTCGGCAATTTACTTAGGTCTCTGTATTATCCCTAAGGCAAATCAGCATGTCTTTGTTGTGTGTTGAAAATTTCCCAACGGTGATGGGTCACTATCAGGCGAGATATTTGTCCATCACCATGGAATTTTGAATTTTTTTTTGAACGTCTTTTACAAAAAAAAAAGCACTGCCTTTTGTCTTGAAAGTATCAAAGAGACAAATATCGGATTCAGAGGCTTAATGGTCAGAACGGATTAAAAAATATATTAAATCTTATAATATTGCGACTTT